ATTTCATATGAAACCAATTCTATTCGAATTGTTTCTTCAGACTTAAGATCCTCATACATATTTCGTGCTATCATAAATGTCGTCGACGAACATTTTATATCGGTTCTAACCTCCTTATTTTTCATAAAGACATAACATAAAGATCTCTTCATTCATATTTTCAGGTACCTGAATCTATCATGAGATTTTATGAAGTGTTATGTCATGTGATCTTCTAGATCACTTGCCTCCTTTATTATGATCATTTTGATCATTTGCTCATCTTCTTTATGAAGAAGTTTAATTGAAACCGATCTGTCTATACACTTTAAGCGTACCATAGATTTTGTCCTTCTAGGACTTAATATGAGCATTTTCAATGAGAATATAGTTACTTTCTTTGGGTCAACAAATGCGTATGGCATGCTCTGTAATATGTTGCAAATGAATTATCTTTTTATGAACTTCAAGTTCATATTATCTTATTCGAGGATCTAGATATACAAATGATAATTCATTCCACGTAACCTTTTCTCAACTGTTTATTATGTATCCCCCTCATGTTAGAAAAACTAACTTGTTTCCTCAACTTTGAGAATCCACCTTTGTGCGTTATGGTGTTAATCCAAATGTACACCGCACATCAATAATAATAAGATGGAATTATTTGGTTTCTGACCTTGAACCACTTGTGAGGGGAGAATGTAATATACTTTGGTATATAACGTATATCAAATTGATATAGATAACTTTGTTCTCATAAGCAATTGTTTAGCTATTAAGTGAAGGCACTCAGTAAATTATTTTGCTAAACCAACTGTGATGCAAACCAACTTATCAAAATGGATTTCTTGAATAGAAAATCTAGAAATTATGCTCGAAATTAAATTATTGAGCAAGTTACCTCGCAAAACACCAAGTTGCGGGTTAATAATAATTGCACATGTTACCATCTCATAGATGCATCTTATGTGGTATACATGGCAGGTGAATGGGCCCATATTCACCTTTATATTTCCAGCATTCATGGGATTCAATCCCAATTTTAGTTGGTCAATTAATTAATAAGAACAAATAATGTAAGAGAATTTGTAAAGAACTTTCTAGTTCTTTAATATTTACCTATGTGAATTCTCTATTATTTTTGCACATCATACTTAAATTGATATGGATAACCCAAATGCCAACTGAATAAATTATCAATATTGATAAAGTTCATATTTACACAATGACATGTGCAATTATCAATAAAATCAAGTTTATTATGATATGTGTTTTTATATCAATAAACATCCACTTTATTGTCGTATTCGTTTATTTGTGTAGTACAAACTGGAGAATAAAGCGGGTAACGTTTCACATACATATTACCCAGCTACAAGTTGTAGTAATAGAAGATATTAAATCTTTCCTTTATTTATAGTCTCAATATAATCAACCACTTTCGCGTATACTTTGGAAACTGAATAAGTTTCTTTGAGATTTACTACAACACAATATCTTATTGGCAATCAATTGTATTTCTCTAAAATAGTATAATTGGCTCTTCCAGAGTTCTCAATAAATTTTGTATATTCATCAACATCCATATGGTGAATATCTCTTTTAAAGAGAAGTTATAAATTATGGTCATGGTCAAAATTATATGCACGATATGTTTCTTGCATTATTATTGTCCTTTAATAATCACATTGCCAATATATTTGGCATACAATAGGTACGTGACCAATGATCATTCATGCCATAATAATGACATTATTTTCTTATATCATCTCAAACCTTCTTCTAGAGGTGAGTGTGGTATATTCGCTACCACTAGCGTGTTCATATTCTTTGAAGAATGAATATGTTTTCATAAATCAGATGTTGCCACATTCACATCATGAATGAACCATAATCATCTATATGTGCTTTATAAAATCTCATGTCAAATTAATGACACGTATTACTTTCACAAAGTGAAAGATTATTTTGAGAATCCTTATTATTTCCATTATCACAATGATGATGATTATAATTTCGTCTATTGTCACGTCCACATTCATTGATACCTTCACGGTAATAATTTTGTCTTCTTTCAGACTTATCAAATACTGCTATCACATTCTCTTAAGGGAATGAGAATGGAGCAAATTCAATGGGACGGGTTTTCAATTCTTTGCCCACAATCATACATGAATTTGATGATGACAATGCATAGAAATTTTACCACTTTGGGTGATTATAATTTCTTTCAAACTCCACTAGAGTTACAATCAAAATTTATCGTCTTTGTTTGTATTTAAAATCAAATTGTAAAATGTCAAAAATTTGAAAGAGAAAGGTAAAATGCTTACCTTAAATCTAGAATTTAATCATGAAGGAAGTTCATGGAACAATTGATAATCATTATGCTCAATCCCAAAGCTTCTACTCAATTGGTTAGAGTCTCGTGCTGATAACGTGTTATGAAACAATAAAAGAAGAAGAAGAGTATTGCAAAGAAAAGTAGGGAGAGAGAACTCTTATTGATTTTGGGATGAATTACAATGGAATAGAACCCTCTATTTATAAGGAGAGAGTGACTTAGCCACCAAGTAATAAACCCTAGAATCTCTCTAAATATAGACATTCACCATAAATAAAATTCTATTTATAACACTTTACTATAAATAGATCTCTTTTTTTTATATAGGATTTAGGGAATAAAATTTTAAATTATATTAAATGATGCATACTGATTTGTTCAATAAATATTGTGACCTTCTTAAAAGGATCTTCTCCATGTGTATACAATTGTGACGGGCAAACTGTTGGAGTTAATAGCACGAGAAAAGAAGCTTCAAGAACAGGGAATTAAGCTTAAGATTAGGTTAAAAATTTTCTAGAAGAGAAGATTAATCCCTTTAGATATTATACTCTGTTCGGCCCACTTTAATTGTTTTTTTGACCTTTTTTTTTTTAATATTCACAATATTTGACTTTTCTCAAATACTATTAAGAACGAATTATTATTTTTTCCAAAATTGCACTTGGAGTAAAGAGTCTAGGAGTATTTGTTATATTTTCAGTATTAATATAGTCAACTCATTGTTAATTAATGCTAAAAGGTAACTTCCTTAATATGTGTAAAAATAACTAAAAAAATCAATGAGAGTGCAAAAAAAAGAGAATGATTTTTGAAGATGAATTATAGGCACCTTGAAGTGCACTTCCGGTACTGTCGGTGCTTGAAACAATTTTGTCTTCTCCATATCTCTAGAATAATTTTATATGAGGAGCTGAAACAATTTTGTCTTCTCCATATCTCTAGAATAATTTTATATGAGGAGCTATTGAACTCAATCACTTATTGTTGTTAGTCTTAAGTTTTTCTGTTGAGGTTTATCTTGCAGAGATACTCAAATTGGATCAGTGATCGATTTCAAGTTTTCATCGTTATTTCTAATTACGTAAATCAATAATTCAAACTTTGGTAGTCTAGTTGTAGTTTTGAGCAGGTGAACCCATGTTCTATCTCGTAGATCAGGCCTTAAAGAAGGTCCCAAGGGTTCGGTTGTTCGCCGATTCAAGATAGACTTCATCCACCGGACGCCCTTAAAGTGGACAGGAAGATTGAGACTCTTCAAACGGAGCACTAAGAGGAAGGTGTCCTGAGTTGTTGATTAAAATGCCCAAAGTCAATTCATTATGCTTTACAATAAAGAAAAGGATTAAAGGATGCAAAAAGATCTTTTCAAGGTAAACTTCCATTCGAGAATCTCAATTGCTCTTTCTTATAAGAACCCAATGGACATGGACAAGCAATCATTTGTAACATAGTTTTATATGTACTTCCTACAGCTGTAAAGAGACCAAGCTAATGGACATGGAGAATGTTCATACTGGTGAAAAAACTCCTGCTCATGCAGCGGCTTCCACCCGATGTAACTTTTAATTGATGAGGAAGTAGTTGGTTTTGAGGATGAAGCAGAAAGTATAATTGAACAATTGACTGGAGGAACAAAGGAAGTAGACGTTGTCTCGATTGTTGGAATGCCTGGATTAGGCAAAACAACTTTGGCTAAAAAGGTGTTCAATCATTTTATTGATAATAGACACTTTGATGTTCGAGCATGGTGCTATATATCTAAGGAATATAGTTTGATGAAGGTGTTCTCGGAGATTCTTAAACAAGTCATAGGCAATTTGGATGGTATCGAAGATGAAGACATGCCTGACAAGTTGCGCAAGAGTATAATGTGCAAGAGATATCTCATTGTATTAGATGATATATGGGAAGTTAAGGCATGGGAAGAGTTGAAATTATCTTTCCCACAGGATGAAAATGGAAGCAGAATACTGGTAACAAGTCGAGATGAAGAAGTGGCTAGGCAGCTTAAGCACCACACTAATCCGCATTCTCTTCGATTTCGAACCGTGGATGAGAGCTGGGAATTACTTCAGAAGAAAGTATTTCAAGGAGAAATCTGCCCCCTGAAATGCTCAAAGCAGGACAACAAGTTGCTGAAAGCTGCAAGGGATTACCTCTTGTGATCGTCTTGACTGCTGGAATTATTGCAGAGAAAAGGCAAGCCTCTTTATGGCTTGAGGTCGCAAATGATTTAAGTTCCCATGTTTTAGAAGAGCAAAGCACGAAGATAATAGAATCAAGTTACGACCATTTGGAAGACCATTTAAAGGCTTGTCTTCTTTACATGGGATTGTTTCCAGAAGACTACAAAATTCCAGTGTGCGATTTGCTAAAGTTATGGATAGCTGAAAATTTTGTACAGAACATGGACACAGATAACCTGGAGGAAGCATCTAAGATTTGCTTGAATGGTCTAGTGACCAGAAGCCTAGTAGTGGTTACTAAAAGGAGAAGTAATGGTGAGATAAAGTATTGCACTGTTCATGATTTAGTGCGTGAGTTTTGCTTGAGAAAACTTACAAAAGAAAAGTTTATGCAACTCATAGTCCCATACAATCGATACCAAACTTTAGGTGCAAAGGAACCTCGGTTATGCATGTATGTCCATGACGATCTTGTCCGAGAATTAGTGCAGTACGAATATTCGTTGGATAAGATTCCGATGATGGCAGGGTTGAAGGAAGGGGAGTCTTTCGCTCAATGTCATGATAGGTCTCTTGAGTTCATTGCTCATCCAAAATTCTATGCATGGGACCATATAAGTCTTTTTCCTTTACTTGATAACTTTAGACTTATTCGGGTGCTGCATTTATGGGATATCTACTTGCAAAATTCGTGGGCTACAGCAATGCAAGCGGTAACTCACTTGAGATATCTTGCAATTTTTACCCAAAAGTTTGATTTCCAGTGGATATCACACCTACTCGATCTACAGAATTTGCGGGTGGCATGGAAAGATTCAACAGCACTTGATCCCACAATGCGTTTAAAGACATCACCTGCCATTTGGAAAATGCAGAAACTAAGGCATGTGGATATCAACAAATTTTCCTTCGCTTGGAAAGACAATGATCGAGCAATTTTTGAGGAATCTCCAAAACCTGTGTTACCGAACTTGAAGACTTTTGGCAAGTGTTGGATATACTTGGCTGATATGACTCCGGAGTTCTGGTGGAGATTTCCAAATATTGAACAACTCAAACTCCACTTTGTTGAACCAGAAGATGAAACTGTAACTAAATACTATGAGGTTCCCACACCAGAAGTTGATATGCCAAATCTTGAAAAACTCCCACTTCAATCTCTTGAAGTGAGTTTCTCACACACAAAGTCCACCTACTCAACCATGATGGGGCAGCTGTGTTGTCTTCCCTTCAAATCTAAAACATTTGTCCATTGATTGCATTTACCTGACGGGAAAACTTGTTTCAAACATTGCAAGATTGCCAAACCTTGAGCGACTCAAACTTCGTATGATACATTTAAAGAGCCGAGGTGACATATATCTGTCAAGATATATCAGCAAATGTTGGGATGTCAGTGATTACGAGTTCTTTACACTCAAATACTTGAAATTAGAGTCTTTTCATATGACAGAATGGTTCTCCTCAGAGGCATCCTTTCCCGTGCTTGAGAAACTGGTTATAGATCATGATTACACGCTTCGAGAGATCCCGTCTAGCTTTGTGGATGTTCCAACACTGCAGTTGATTAAACTGATCGCCTGCAGTGAGTCACTTGTCAATTCAGCTCTGAACATTAAAAGAGAAGTTGAAGAGATGACAGGAAGTGACAGTCTCCAAGTTCATGCCAAGTATATAAGATAATGGTAAGTAATTTCATAATTATGACATACATGCAAGAAGAAACTGACATTTTCCTAGATGACATTTATCAAGATAACTAGTGTACTTGCCCGCGCTTCGCGCAGTCATGAAAAAATCAAAAATGAAAAAAATTAAATATGAATTCTTACTACTATCCTTTTTCCGATTCTTATAATATCCAACAATGTAGGTCCTTCCTTTGGTGCTCAGTCCATTTTAGGGGACTCTCTTTTAGCAACTTAATTATTTTGATTGAGAATAGAGCAATGATTTGATTAAGGTTTAGGAATCTAAAGTTCTAACAGAATACATATGTTTGGAAATAAGAGTCAAAAAAACAGCAATTGTTACCATTCTAAAAAAAGAGCACCAAACAATCCAAATGCTAAGTGGGAAACAATCCCCAAACTCATCTAACACAATGGAACTATATACTTTAGCAAATATAAATATTTTCTGGTAAATTTATCTTAAAACAATATATGTACATACTATTATTGATATAGTTCTTAATCTTAACAACAAACAAACAAATATTCTTACACATTTTAGTAAAATACATGAAAGGCGTCAAAGTATTTTGGCTATTTATGTATTCCAAAATGGAGAAAATAAGATGTGTAAATTATATAAAAAAGAAACATAAGACAATTTGCATTAGAGATTATAATACCTTGACAAACTTAATTGCTTTCACTTCAAAAACTCATATTCATCAGAAATCAAATAGAAGTTCCATTTCCATGTCCAAAATAGAACGAAACAAAGAAGAAGAAAGCAATATCAACTGAAAATCATAATAATCTGCTACAAATAACATATTATTGAATCAATAAAATATATATAAAAAAAAAGAGGAATAGAATTACATCCACCAAATTAAAATTTGAAGAGAACAAATAACATTTGAAAATAATTATTATAAGGAAATTAATACATCAACGATTTTCGAAAAACAAAAGTAGGCCAGGTAAATAGTGTTACATCCAAAATAATAATCTTCTAAGTCAAATATTACAAATAAATAAAGAGCAAGAAAAAAAAAAGATTCCAAAAGGATTACATGATGCCAAAAGGAATGAAAAACATAGTTGAGAACAAAAGGACTATTTGAAGGGACTGACTCTTGGGTGCCATATTTATTTTTACTAAAATGAAGGTCATGGTCTTAAAAGTTATAATTGTGATAGTACTAAAGAGGTCATAAATATTGAGTAATTGCAAAAATAAGTAACGTACCAAAAGAATCTTTTCTTCGCCTTATTTCATTTATGATAGAAATTATTGGAACTATCAAGAAGGCTATAATTCATATTGAGTAAATATTATATTAAAATAAAGTGAAAAACGAAAAAATCGTAAAAAGATAAATGTGAATGAAAGCCAAAGAGATGTGTCACGCCAGCTTTATCATTCCCTACTTTATATTTATAACTCAACAAACTTTAGTATTACAAAAGGCAGCACAACTTTTAATTTTTACGTACGTTTATAATATTTTTGTATTTTTTAATCCTTTCCGCATCTTCTTGTATAATTAGCTAATCTTGGTCCAGTAAAACACGTTACTGACATTTTTACTAATTCATTATTATGCATTATGTGTAAACAAAATACATTAGAATCAATTGTCAATGCCAAGAATGTACCCTTTTTTTTTTGGTAAGTAGAAACTTTTACTAATTACCAAGTAAACTTTTAACAAAAGCAATATGAAAATAACTTCTCAAAGCATAATAAGGTCCTTTCGTGTCTAATGCTAAAAAGTAATTTGTCTAAGCATAAATAATTCCCTTTTGTATATCAACATGTCAGAGTTCCAGGTAAGTTTGGTGTCTCAAAAAATATTCTGATAATTAAATGTTCATTTATTTTTTATTTTTCTTGATATTCTAAGAATATTAATACAAATAGAAATTATGATAATGAATTTGAAAACTGATAGTCTTCATTTTCTTAAATGCCTTTCCGTTTTAATTGAGCACAATGTAGACAGTTATTAATTTTTTAATAGAGTGTCTGAATTTTGCAGCAAATATTTTGAGGGAAATATAAGAGAAAAGGCCAAAAAAATGACAAAAAAGATAAATACAAATGCTGGATTTTTCTATTGCCCAAAGAGAGGTGCCACCTCACTTTTCTATTGCCCACTTTTATATATATATATGTTGGATTTTTTCTAAAGGGAGTAAATGGTAAATGGAAGAGGCGCCTCTTGGATTGCATCTCTTCATCTCACTCTTTTATTGTCTATAAATTTAGAGGCTTGGCCTCATTATTTAGACATGGAAAATCTGAAAATTTCTCCCCTCTTTTCTACATTGTTGCATTGTTTTTCCAAAATAACAGAAGTGTCAAGTGTGATTCGCTCCGTTTGTTGAGTTCGCTAAAGTTCTGTGATTTGTAGTGCCGCTATCACATAATAATTACTCCGTTCTATCCTAGGAGGAATTAATCTAAAATCTTGGGCAACAGTGATGGAATTAAATTTTGGAAATTTTACCTCATATAGCAAAGGTATACACCCTATTTATTATAAATCAAAATTATTTTAAAATATTATTTTTTATAGCTACCTTTTATATTTTATATCAAAATAAGTATTTATGGTATATGCTACCATTGAGGCATGAAATACGATATTTATGTTTTTCCTCTCTCTTAGATAGTTTGACATACTTATTTTTAAGGAGATTGTCGTTACTGTATTCATAAATATATGGCACGAATACATGTGAATACATGCGCATACAGCTGGACTGCCCTGATTTTAGGCGCTTTTTACTGTTGTATTCATGAATACAGCAACGCGAATACATGTGAATACATGCGCATACAGCTGGACTGCCCTGATTTTAGGCGCTTTTTACTGTTGTATTCATGAATACAGCAACGCGAATACATGTGAATACATGCGCGTATAACTGGACTATCCTGATTTCAGGCGCTTTTTGTTGTAGTATTCATGAATACAACAGCGCGAATACAGCAGCGAATACAGTACCGGAACAACTGAATGGTAGCTACAGGAAGTAATTACGTATGTGGTAGCTATAGGAAATTAATAGCCACTAAACAATAGTGATTTCTGAAAATTCCTCTTAAATTTTTTGAGAACACACAAGTAACTTGTGGGCTCAGAATTATTTTATATTTTATTTGTTGAACTAACGTTTCTTTACTTCTCTAATTTTCTTGTTTTGATCACTGATACTAACACATAAAAAGATAACTCTGGGTTTTTTTCTTCTTTTGTGTGCGTATGTAGCAATTTTACGTCCATAAAGTATCGTGTTGATGAGCTTAACGAGGAGATGTACACATACAAATGCACATTGATCGAAGATGATGCCTTGTTTAACAACCTTGAGAAAACAAATAAGACGTGAAGTGTGAGCAGTCAGCTGATGGTGGTCCAATCTCAAGGAAGAGGATAAAATGCTGGCCAGTTGTTTTATCAATTTTATTAAGCTGTGATTACACCTGTTAATCCGAATCATTATGGTTGCTAGTTGACCGAATTGTTTATATCAATAGCATATTCCTACAGTATTATCCCCGTATCTACAATATATCACTGTATTGAATATATCATAAATAAATATAATACTGTTATGAATAGTTTGTACATTGGATACTACTTTGGATATTATATTGGATACTACATTGGATGCCCATGTTGTGAATAACTTAAAGATTAAATTTCCTATTTTATGTCCATCATCTTTACTTTTTATGCCTATAAAAGGTCATGTAATTGCAATGAAAAATTACACCAAAGTGAAAGAAGAAAACACTTCTCCATTCTCTCTATCTCTTCTTGTTTACATTTTACTGCATTGCTTTTATTTTATAACACGTTATCAGCACGAAGCTCTAATTTTATTCTTAACTCCCGCTAAGTTAAGCCATATTTTATTAAGTTTTTACTATGTCAAATTTATCAAAACTTGAATTTGCGGCACTTGACATCACCGGGAGGAACTATTTATCATGGGTTCTTGATGTTGAAATTCATCTTGACGCTAAAGGTCTTGGAAATACTATTATACAAGGAAATGAAGCATCAAATCAGGATAAAGCGAAGGCCATGATTTTCCTTCGTCATCATCTACATGAAGGGTTAAAAACTGAATATTTAACCGTAAAAGATCCACTTGAATTATGGATTAATTTGAAGGATCGATATGACCACCTAAAACTTACGGTATTACCGAAAGCTCGGTATGAGTGGATACATTTAAGGTTGCAAGACTTTAAAACTGTAAGTGAGTATAATTCTGCTATCTTTAAAGTAAGTTCTCTATTAAAATTATGTGGAGACACTATCACAGATGAGGACTTATTGGAAAAAATATTTTCTACTTTTCACGCTTCAAATGTGGTGCTACAACAACAATACCGTGAAAAAGGTTTTAAGAAATATTCTGAGTTAATCACATGCCTACTTGTGGCTGAGCAGAATAATACTCTATTAATGAAAAATCATGAAGCCCGTCCCACTGGGTCAGCTCCATTTCCGGAAGTGAATGTTGTAGCAACATATGATAAGTTTGAAAGAAAACAAAATAATTACCATGGTCATGGACATGGTCGTAAACGTGGACGTGGTAGGAGGCGAAACAATTACCGTCATTATGGTGGAAATAAATTGGAGAACAATAAGGGTTCTCAAATTAATCATTCAAAAGGTAAAGCTAGTATATGTCACTGATGTGGTATGAGAGGTCATTGGGCACGCATTTGTCGTACGCCAGAATATTTTGTCAAACTTTATCAAGCCTCCCTCAAGAAAAAAGAAAATAATATGGAGGCACATTTGACCTTTCAAAATAATGATGATGAAGCAAGTCCCTCAAATAAATATGATTCTAAGGCACATCTTGCATACAAAGATGATGATTTTGAAGGCCTAACAAATATTACTCATTTAGAAATTGGGGACTTCTTTGAGGATATTGACTGAAGAACTAATCATCTTACTGGGGAATGAAGCTATAAAAGTTGTTATGTTTATGTTTGCAACTAGTTTATTTTTCTTGAGTGTATTTTCCTAATGCATCATGTGTTGCTAGTTTCTACATTTCTAATGTATTTCTTAATGTTTTTTTCCTGCTTGTCTTTCATATTTCTTATGATGTA